AGGCGTTCTGGCTCTTGGATTCCGCCCTTGTCCATTTACCAATCTGGCACTCTTTGCTTACTTACGTGTTGCACCACCCCGACGTACATCGCGATGGCGTGGCGCGCGGCGGTGCTCATCCCGACTTGCTCTGCCATCTCGTTTACCCGCCTGGCGCCCGAGCGCGAGGTCGGCGCGGAGGCGGGCAGTGACACTGTGGTGGACCTCGACAAGAATGCGATCGACGACGTCGTCGGGTCAGAGCGTCGCCAGCCGCTCCTCAGCGATTACGTGGCCGAGGCGAACGTCACTGAAAGCGAGGAGTCCGCGGAGGCTCAAATCGCCGCTTGGGAGGCGCAGCGCGAGGCCAGCGAGGATTTCGAGCAGGCGAACGCTACCGCTCCAGAGCAGCAGCAGCCGGTCGCCAGGCTGAAGGCGCTGCAGGAAGACATGGCGAAGGATGACGCGAAGGAGTGCGAGGAGGTGGAGCCGGAATCCGCGTGCCGCGACGCCGTGGATTGGCTCCGCCAGTTCGGGTTCTCGAGGCACCCCGAGGCCTCCCGTGCCTCCTCCTCCCCTTCCTTCTCTCGGTCCCTCCCTCTCATCCCCTCCCGAGGGGCACTGAAGAGTATCCTGGGCATGCGTGTCGCCAAGTCCGCGGGCTCACGGGTACCCTCTGCATCCGCGGCACAGCGCCCCACATCTGTGAGGCCCCAGCCAAGGGGCCCAGCCCGCGGTGCCGTGAACACGAACATGCGTGTTGGCCCACGACTCTTGCTCCTTCCCTAGGCCACGCGCAGAGGGGGTTACCAGCCTCGAACATATCCCTATCCCTAAGATTGACACGCCAAAAGGCGATGACAATCTTAGGGATTCGTCCTCAAAAAATAAGGGAATCCATAAGATTGGCATCGTGATGAGGAGATGCCCAGCATAGGGATAGGGATATGTTCCAGGCTGGTAAGGGGGGTAGGGGGAGGGGGGAAGACTTCTTAGAAGCACCCCTGCCTTCTTAGAAGGCGCGGCCTTGCCTGTGGATGCAGGGCCGGCGCCTTCCAGGAAGCAGCCTCCTTCTAAGAAGCCTTCCCCCCTCCCCCTACCCCCCTGGTGCGCGCCGCTCCTCCTCCCCAGACGTCTGGCGCTACAGTTTCGTCGATGCGTGGAACCCTGGAGGTCTGGACCACTTGCCCAGCGCCGATCCTGAGCCGTCTTTGACAGTCCTGGTGCCCGTGGAGGACCCCCAGAGGCCGAGAGGAGCCCAAGAGTCCGCCGCACCATTTTTTTCGACGCCAGCTTTTTCGGGGCCTTGGGATCTCTGGGTCGTCCTCCCTCCCTCTTCTGGTGGTATCTGGGCTGTGGCACTGAGTACACCTGCCTTCGCGCCTTCTGAGCAGGCACTTCCCCCCCCCGGGCTCGCAACCGTTGCATATTTTTCGAAGCCTCGGATCTCTCGGTCTTCCTCCAGGGCGGTGGGTTTATTCTTGGCCAAGCCGCAATTGGTGTTCCACTGGCTTCCAGACCCTTGTTTCCTTACCAGCTGGTTCCTTATCCGATGCCCTCAACGTACTGTTTTCGTCTCTCCCACCGTCCCGCCCTTTTCTTCCTGCCTTTTTTTCCTCGTCTGATTCGATCATGGGCCCCATATCGAACTCGGCGGCGAGCGAGGGGTGGAAATGAGAAGGAGAAGAAGAAGGCCTTCTCAGAAGGTGGTGGGACTTCTCAGAAGCCCTCGCGCCTTCTGAGAAGTTTTCAGTATCTTCGGGGAAGGCTTAGAGAGCTTCCCAGAAGGCTGGGTGACTTCAAGCCTTCTGAAATGGACCGCCCCTTCGGATTTTGCCCACCTGGCTCGGCGCCGATATTGAATGCAATCATCCAGCTCTCGTGCCCAAGTCCTTTGGAAACCGCCAAAGACCGCCAGAAAAACCGCCGAAGACCGTCAGACGACCGCCGAAGACCCCGCCGAAGACCGCCCCCAAATCCTCCGAAAACCGCCGAAGACGGCCCAGTAGCGATGGGCATCTGTGGTCGAGCACGTCGCCTTCCCCAGAGATCCGACGCTCCAACAAAAATCGGAGAGGCCGGTTTTTGCCCGTGTGCGGCCTCCGGGGGGCATTCGCCGGGCCTCGGGGCCGTCAACAAGACGAGCCAGGACGACAGGCCGGCCCTGCGGAGGCGGCCCGGGGACCTCCAGGGCCCACGCCTCAACAAACGTTGGAGCGGCTGGATGCTTCGGCTCCTGCTCTCCTCCCCCTCCTCCTCCCCCTCCTCCTCCTCCTCCTTCCTCCTCCCCTCCTCCTCCTCCTCCTCCTCCTACTTATCTTCATTCTCCTCCTCTCCTTCTCAGCCTCTCCTCCTCCTCCTCCTCCCCTCCCCTTCCCTATCCTCATCTTCGTCCTCCTTCTCCTCCTCCTCCTCCTCCTCCTCCTCCTCCTCCTCCTCCTCCTCCTCCTCCCAGTGGTATCCGGGCTACGGCACCGAGTCCACCTTCGAGGAGGTGCAGGGGATGCTCCACGGCCTCGGCAAGGCGGGCTGCCCCAAGCCCTGCCTTGGCGCGGCGCGGGCGAAGAAGGCGCTCGCTTGCCAGGACTGTTTGCTTGCTTGTCCCCAGGCGTCTTGCGTCGGGTTATCGTTTCGAGTATCAGGCAGGAAAAACACACACAGACACAATTTATCTTTGCCTCCCAGGAAAATATAGGAAAACATGGGAAGTGGGGGGGAAGACACAAACCCAGAACATAAGGGAACATATAGGACATCTTGTTATTTGTGCCTTTTTTTTTTGTGTGTGTGTGTGTGTGTGTGTCTCAGGGCCCCTTCAGAGTAGAGCACTGCCGTCGCAGCCCTCGGAATTGTCGCCACTTTTGAGGGCTGCTGGGTGGCCCCGCGGAGTGGCGCCCTACGCGAGCCTGAAGTAGACCTCGCCATACCTCGGGGGCTGCGGCCTGCGAAACTGTCGCCACTTTCGAGGGCTGCTGGGGGTTCCAGCGGAGTAACGCCCTACGCGGACCTAAATTACACCTCGCCATCCCTCGGGGGCTCCGACCTGCGAAACTGTCGCCACTTTCGAGGGCTGCTCGGGGTTCCAGCGGAGTGACGCCCTACGCGGACCTGAATTACGCTTCGTTCTCAGCATGGCAGGTCACGTGTCGCTCAGTGAAAGCGTGATGAAACGTCAGATGGTTTTCAAGGGGCAGCTTGCCCGACGCCCAGATTCTGACCCAGTTCGAAGTTCAATTTTCGAATCAGGTAGTCTATCTCTTCGCCCCCCAAGCGGTCCTCGAAAACGAGGTCGGCCGCGACAGTCTTGGGGACAAATGGTAATGCGCAACTGTCTACTGGCAGCTGGTTCTCCCGCGCGGCTAGCTGCATTCTTTCGCCGAGAGGGCGGAGCAGCTCGTGCGTGGGAGGCTACAGTGCGCTCGTGGCACAGCTGCTGAATCATACTGGTTTCACTCGCGCGCCGGCCGGCGCAAGGCTTCTGAACTGAACATCGCTTGGGGGCTGCGATCTGCGAAACTGTCGCTACTTTCGAGGGCTGCTTGGGGGGTCAGCGGAGTGACGCCCCACGTGGACCAAATTAGACCTCGCCATCCTTGCGGAGCTGGCAGCTGGGGCGAAACTGTCGCCACTTTCGAGGGCTACCTGGATGCCGCCCTCTTCTGTGGGCTCGCTTGCCGCTCTTCTCCTCCTGCCTCCTCCTCCTCCCTCCTCCCTCCGCCTCCCTTCCTCCTCCTCCCTCGCTCCTCCTCCCCTCCTCCTCCTCCTCCTTCTCCCCCTCCTCACTCCACCTCCTCCTCCCCCTCCTCCTCCTCCTCCTCCTCCTCCTCCTCCTCCTCCTCCTCCTCCTCCGATACTGGTTCGACCTGGTCTGCGCTTCCCGCGCCTGCAGCCGGTGCCGCAGCCCCTGGGCGTGGCCGCGATGCCGCTCCGCGCCCGCTGCGGGGCTTCCTCAGCACGGGCGGGTCGCAGCGGCCACGCCTGACGAAGGTCTTCGTGCGCGTGCGGGTCGCCTCTGCAGCGCTGCGGCATCACAAAGGTGTGCTCGCGTGTCTGCTTGGCTGTTTGCTCGTGTGTTTGTTGGCGTGTGCGTGCGTGTGTGATTATTGTGCTTAGGTGCTGGCTGTCTGTGTGCTGTGTTTGTTTATTGTGGTTGTGGTTGTTGGTGTCGTGGTGATTATGTTTCCGCCCCGCGGTTCCCCCAGTTGCGCCCCGTAGCTTTAGCATTAGCTTTAGCTTTGGCTTGAGCATTAGCCTTAACTTTAGCTTTAGCGTTAGCTTTAGCTTTAGCTTTATTTTTAGCTTAGCTTTAGCTTAGATTTAGCTTTGCTTCAGCTGCATATTTAGCTTTAGCTTAGCTTTAGCTTAGCTTTAGCTTAGCTTTAGCTTAGCTTTAGCTTAGCTTCAGTTTAGCTTCAGCTTAGCTGTAGCTTAGCTTTAGCTTGACTGTAGCTTAGCGTTAGCTTAGCTGTAGCTTAGCTTTAGCTTAGCTTTAGCTTATACTTAGCTTGACTGTAGCTTAGCGTTAGCTTTGCTTTAGCTTATCTTTACCGTCACTACTAATGCTGCTTTCCTAGGGGCTCCAACTCCCAGGTAGGGTCGCATTGGGATGATTTTGTCAAGATTTTTTTGTGGCGGTCTTACGAGAGGAATCTTCGTGTGGCGCCCTGGCAACTGAACCCTTTCAGAAACATAAGGAAAACAACGGAACACAATGAACAGAAAGGAAACCATAAACAGAAAGGAAACCATATCGAAAACCAGTGAAACATGTAACAATGATGTTTGGACCACAATACAAGCCGATATGCACCACGGACATCGTAAAAAAACACAGCAGCAATAATGAGCACCAATGAACACCGATGAACACAGCAAAATCTCAGTTCATACAATGGAGACGTATGAACACGCGGCAAGAATAATGATCACCAAAGGAAACAAAGAAACACACAATGATTGCTCTGTTTGATATGTTGTCCTTGATCGCCATTGTTTTCCGCTGCTGTTTGCCGAAAGTAGCCTGGCTGCCCGGCAAATGGATTCCTTTTGCGGCGTCCGGTCAAAAGGATTATTCCCAACGATCCTGTGGTGTTGGGTCCTCGTTTTGAAGAAACGGTCCCCGCGTTCCTTCTTCCTCCTTCTCCTCGCCCTCCTCCCTCCTGCGTTCGCATGCCTCCCCACCACCCATTTCGGCACACCCCTCACACGTTTCGTGGCCCCACAGGGAGCCCCACCGAAGGCCCCAGTGACAGGGTTCGCATGCCTCCCCACCACCGATTTCGGCACAACCCTCACACGTTTCGTGGCCCCATAGGGAGCTCCACCGAAGGCCCCAGTGGCAGGGTTCGCATGCCTCCCCACAACCCATTTCGGCACACCCCTCACACGCTTCGTGGCCCCATAGGGAGCTCCACCGAAGGCCCCAGTGGCAGGGTTCGCATGCCTCCCCACCACCCATTTCGGCAACAGCCCTCACACGCTTCGTGGCCCGCATAGGGAGCTTCCACCGAAGGCCGCCATTGGCTGCGTGTCGCATGCCCCCCGCCACTCCAGTCGGCACGCCCCCTCACACGTTTTCGTGGACCCAATAGGAAGCTCCACGCGAAGGCCCCAGGTGGCTTGGGGTTCGCTGCCTCCCCACCAACCCATTTCGGCACACCCCTCACACGTTTTCGTGGCCCCAACAGGGAACGCTCCACCGAGGCCCAGTGCTGCGTTCGCATGGCTCCCTCACCACCCCATTCTGGCACACTCCCTCACACGTTTTCTGGCCCCATAGTAACTCCACCGTAAGGCCCCCAGCGGCTTCCGTTCGCATGCCTCCCCACGCACCCATTTCCCGGCACAGACCTCAACACGTTTTTCGTGCCCCTATGGAACTCCACCCCCCCCCCCCCCCCCCCCCACCCCCACCCCCCCCCCCGAAGGCCCCAGTGGCTGCGTTCGCATGCCTCCCCACCACCCATTTCGGCACAACCCTCACACGTTTCGTGGCCCCATAGGGAGCTCCACCGAAGGCCCCAGTGGCAGGGTCGGCATGCCTCCCCACCACCCATTTCGGCACACCCCTCACACGTTTCGTGGCCCCATAGGGAGCTCCACCGAAGGCCCCAACGGCAGGGTTTCGCATGCCGCCCCACCACTACACCATTTCGGCACACCCCTCACACGCTTCGTGGCCCCATAGGGAGCTGCACCGAAGGCCCCAGTGGCTGCGTTCGCATGCCTCCCTGCCAGCCATGTCGGCACACCCCTCACACGTTTCGTGGCCCCATAGGGAGCTCCACCGAAGACCCCAGTGGCTGCGTTCGCATGCCTCCCTGCCAGCCATGTCGGCACACCCCTCATACGTTTCGTGGCCCCATAGGGAGCTCCACCGAAGGCCCCAGTGGCTCCCCACCACCCATTTCGGCACACCCCTCAAACGTTTCGTGGCCCCATAGGGAGCTCCACCGAAGGCCCCAGTGGCTGCGTTCGCATGTTTCCCCACCACCCATTTCGGCACACCCCTCACACGTTTCGTGGCCCCATAGGGAGCTCCACCGAAGGCCCCAGTGGCATGGTTCGCATGCCTCCCCACCACCCATTTCGGCACACCCCTCACACGTTTCGTGGCCCCATAGGGAGCTCCACCGAAGGCCCCAGTGGCGCGGTGCCTATGAGAAGAGGGGCCTAGTTTGCGTGCCCCCTCCTTCGTCTCATATCCGTGCGGTACTCGCAGCTGCATATGGTTGGGTCCTTCGCCAGGCTAATTTTTGTGGCGGCCGTGCAAAGAGATTATGCTTGTGGCTGCCTTCCAACAGGAACTATTGTGTGGCGGCCTCCAACTGGATTATGTTGTGTTGTGGAGGCCTTACGAGAGGATTCATTTTGACGCGACGTTACAAAACGGTTCCGTACATGGCCGCCTTAATGAACAGTTCTTTACTTCGCGGCTTAGTATACGAATTCGGAAACGGAGATTGCCGAACGGAATCGCGAAGGTAGGGATTTGAAGAACAAGGGGTCGATTGGATCCTAATGGGTGGGGCATTGTGGAAGGAGGCCAACCGAAAGGCTGAAACAGCATGGCGAAGCACGTGAAACATTGGGGAAGCACATGACACGCGCTTCTCTCATCCAGCCTCTTCCTCATGTTTGAGACCCCGTTCCCTCTCGCCGCTCGGTTGCAGATGCAGCGCGCCATTCTTGAGGCTTCGGCCCATCCTTGGGCGGTCCTGGCTGTTGCCCCGGCGCCCGGCTCGGGACGCACGGGGGCCTTGCATCTGCACCTTGGGCCCGTGAGTTACGCGTTGAGCGCAGGGGGGGATGCTGTGATCCACTGGCGCCACTGAGGACCCTCAGAGGAGGAAAGGGTACCCATACCTCTACCCTTCGCCCCGTTTTCCCCTTTTTGGGTCTCCTCGGCGGCCCTCGTCACCACCGCTGGAGTCGCCTCAAGATTCTGGTCAGAACGCGCCCCAGGAGAGTTCTGGGGAGCAGCGGTATGGGTACCAACCAGGTCTTGGTGGACGTGGCCTC